TGTGATTAACTACATCCATCTTCCTCCCACCTCACTTCCATACTGGTTCCAATGTCGACCCACAACCTCTGCTGATGCTGCAATCACACTGCACTAAATGAAGCATACACCATTAGTTACTCTTCTGCACACCCTTCTTCCTGCGGTGTCTCTCACTGCACTCTTTATCAGTGCGCTGGAACAGTGTGGGGAAGGAAGAAAGGTTTATTGACAAAAAACCTCCTCCGGGACCAGGCTCAGCCTATCCTAGCTGAATTCAAAACCCACACAAACCCTTTTGTAATAAATGTTGTCAGACATCATAATGGATAGTGCATACCTTTAAGTTGATTTCCTTTTGCTGTGGTACAAACATCCTATGAAAAGATGTGGGGGGAAATGGCTTCAGTTGTAAAAATAACATAATTTGGATTTTTAAAGTAGAAAAGACTTTACTGATAGTAGTCTGTTCTGTCCAGTGCGTGTTCTAAGCAAGCATTCTTAGCTGTAGGTTATAAATTAGCTTTGAACCAGCTGTAACTTCTGACTTGTTACTTATGGCTGATTTATAGAAAATGCCAACAATTGCAATCTCAAAAAGACCTCTGACCCTATAATGACTGAATTTTTAATTTCAGGAAAAAAATTTTTTGTTTTTATTCTTTACTTCCATAGTTATCAATATATATTAAATATACATTTAATTAAATGTTACACAAATGTCATACTTGGCATTATAGGGCTAAGGAAGCAAGAAATGGGAAATAAAACTACACCTGGGAAATGAGGAAAGAGAGAAACACATAGGATTAATGAGTTCTTATAATTAGTAGCACTATATCATTTCTACTTATGTTTTAGTGATTGCACGCTTCAGATTATGCCAGTAATCCTAAAACATTATTATTAATTATAACTAGCAGACAAGGAAAAAACGGGGGGCCCTGTAACTTTACTTTTAATATGGACTGGATTTTTATTATAAACTTCTTGTGAGGAGCCAGTCGGTGTAACCACCACCTGTCTGTAGTGGAGGTTTGTGTCTTGTAATGCTGAACAGATTTCAGTGGATCTTCCGATTTCGATGAAGTCGGAAGAAAGAACTGGAATCTACTTTGCGAAACCTGCCAGGGGAAACCCCATGAGTCACAACACTTGGATCCCCAACCCATCCTGGAGATATCTCCGGGCATGCTAGTCTTTCCTTCTGTGCAGTGAGGCACAACTCGATGGCAGCTAAGCACAACAACAGCACCTTGACACATATTAGGGCACAATTCTAGCCGAGTTTTTCTGGTGGGTGCCAGTATGGTGCTCGTGTTCCCTGTGGGAAAAGTGAAGTACGGAGACGTGCAGTAGCATTTCTGATCACTGAGGCCAAGCAGTTTGAGCAGGGATTTGAAGGCAAGGTATGTCTGCCTTTTTGGTATCATATTTTATAGAGAAAAAGGTCACAAATGGCAGAGTAGGGGCTTGCCGTCTCCATGGCCATGGTAACCAGTTATTTTTAAGGGTCACCAGAAGTTCTATAATGCTGATGAGTTTCATGAGGTGGGAAATGGGAAAGGAATAGAGGAACGGGACCCTGCACCCCATCCTTAAAAACATCTATTCATATGATGTATTGGAAATTTGATATAATCTTCTTTTTTTTAAGCATTTGTGAGTATGTACAGGGGTGGTAGCATGCCAAAAGCAATATACAAATGAGAAAAAGGTAGTGGTCTTCTTTACTGGAGTTGCCATGGGAATCTAAAAGGCCACATTTAAGTTTATATTGAAAGATGACTCCTAATCTAATGCTGCATATTAGGCCTGTCAATAGTACTGTTGTCAAAGGATAGGTTAGACAATGGGACTGGCCAATAAAGCCTAATCAACTGGCTTAACATAATAAGCCAGACCCTGACATCCAGCAATTCCTATATGTAAGGTCACACAGGCAAACTTAGATATTTACAGTTTTGCAGCTTTTTCACAGTCATTTTATTTAGTCCCATGACTTGCCAGGCATTGTGTGCAGTAGGCTAAGCAGACACCATTGGGTATGACCCCAGCCACCACAGTCTGTAGGCTAGCAATGGAAAACAGACCCAGGAACAAATGAACACCAGGCTCGATGGAGGGAAATGTCTAGCTAGAACTGCCACTGCCTGCAGGAAAGAATCAAATAGGTCTCCCTGGGAACGCGAGGAAAGGCTTCACTAAAATAGTAACTCTGAATCTATTAGTCAACTATCTTTGCTGCCACAAGGAAGGAGATTAAAAGCAAACCTCTACAGCCAGAGAACAAGATCCGTGACATTACGCTGTACTTTCCCATCTCAGGAAACCCCACTGAATGGGGTTTTGCCAGTGTGGGTGTGTATGTCTAAGGATGCTCCTTTTCCCAAGGAGCTGGAGATGATAGGTGTCATTAATGAGGAGGGCATCTTCTGTTATTTGGACAGAGCCTCTTCTCCACCTGGAATACTCTAGGTAAATGCAGATATTCAAAAGTGCTAGTGCACCCTGGGCAGTCTCACCCTGCAGGGAGGGTCGATAAGAAGCAGAAGCCCTTCACCCTTCAGCTCCGGGTGGTGAGAATGGCAGTGAGGGCTGTGACACTGGACACGAAGGGCATTGGCTAATCTCCAAGGCTCATTTGGGGCAACGCGGAGAGCCTCCCAAATGGGCTTCACTTGCTGTCTTATCACTCCTTTCATTCAAAATTCTTCTTTCTCTCATATTATCCAATTTATATTATCATTTTTCAAATAAGGGGATTGAGCCAGGAAGAACAAAGTGCACTTTCCAAGGGATCCAGAGAAGACCCATGGTTGATTGAGATGAGAGATTTAGAACAGATTACTAACCAAAGGGCCCTCACTGACTCCCGGCCCTCAAGTCAATGCTGACTCATAGCAACCCCCTGTACATATTCCGAGTGTGTTAGTTTGGGTTGACCAGAGAAACAAATTTATAGATGCTCATATGTATATAAGCAATAACTATTAATAAAAGAGCAATCGGATATTGAGAAAACATCCGAGGCCAGTTCAGATCAAATCCATAAGTTTGATATTAGCCCATATGTCCGATACTAGTCCATAAATGCCTCTCATTCTTCTCATGCAGTACTTGCAAAGATGCTGAATGCAGGAAGATCACAGACCAGTGGGTTGAAAGTCTTGTGGATCCAGTGGCAGTGGGAAAACATCTCAATGCTAGTGTGGGTCTCTTCTAGTTCCAGGGCTCCGGCTCCATCAGTGGGTCACCATGTGGCTTGTCAACAGGAATGTGAACCAGAGAGTATATCTCCCCCTTCCAGGGAGGAAGTCAGGAGTTCCCGGAATCCTCAGAAGGCCATGCCCCACACAGAGGCATCCTTGGTTATGACCTAATTACAAGCTAGCCTCCACCCTGTCACTCAAGTTGACAGGAGATTATGTAACTGCCACAGTGAGACTGTAACTATTTATGGGAGTAGAAAGTCCAGCCTTTCTCCCAGGCAGCTACTTGTGTTTTTGAACTGCCGTTCATGTGGATAATAGCCCAACTTTTAACCACTACACCACCAGTCCACGTTAAACCAACTGACATCGGCATATGCTGGGAAGCACAGGCTCTGTTGGACATATTTTTTTGTGTTGGAAGAGGTGCAGACAGGGATTTATTTTGTTTCCCTTACCATTTACAGAAAAATCAATAAAAATAGGAACACAAGGCATATAATACACATGTTATATTAATTTTTTTCTGTAGAGAAAAAAAGCAATACTTCGGGGAAATGATTTTCTCTGTGATATGCCTATCTATGGGTAGAAATGGATTATATTGAATTTTTAGTTCATGAGATGAATCTGTAGAAGTTCATGTACATGTGTTCATATCACAAAGTCAGTTTATTGTCAAAAGCATCATAAATTACCAATGCTTACACTTTAGGTCACCTCAAAGGAAAGGTATTTTAAAGAAATTAATTGTAAAAAAGATTTCGAATTTTCCCTCAGTTTCAAAGAAACTTTTTTTGTACATACCCACAGAGGAAGCAAACATGTTCTAATCCCTTGCAATGAACTTACTACTCATGGAAATGTCTTGCACATTGCTTCTCCTGTGATTAAAGTGTCTGATATGAAAAATGGACATAATAACAATACTTTCTTCACTAAAGAGCTGCGATTATTGGGTAGGACCAGGGCTATCCAATATATGCAGCCACAAAGGCCCGATGCTCAAAAGAGCCCATGCTTCTCTTAATGGTCTGTAGCTACCATCTTGAAAAATTCTCCTTCATTTTGAAACAATAGACCTTGCATCTTTTTGCACGGAGTCCCACTAATTAGGTAGCCAGTCCTGCACAGAATTGTTTATAAAGTTTATACAGGGAACATAGATTAATTCTCAATAAATGTTGGCCATTACTAATTTTGGAGTCCCTGGGTGGTAGAAACAATTAATGAACTCAGCTAGCAGCCAAAGAGGTTGGAAGTTTGGGTTCACCAAAGGGGCCTTCGTGGAAAAGCCAGGCGATCTATTTCTCAAAAACCAGCGATTGAAAACTATGACACACAGTCCTAATCTCACTCACATGGGGTCCTCATGGGTTTGAGTTGACTCAACAGCAATTGGTCTCTTGTTATTACTAATTTTGCAAAATATCTCAAGTTAGTTGGGCACAGGTCCAACATTTTATTTCATGATGTTTGTCCAATATACATGGCAATCCTAATGGTAGAGGACATTTTGCATCTGAGCCACTCTCTATTGGGAAACACTGCATTATAGTCCTCTGTCATTTCCCTGTGGTTGTTCATCTATGGGATATGGATTGTATATGGTGGCTAATTAGGACGTTTTTTATACATGTAATATAATATAATTGAGCCTGCATCTCTCCATAAGGGATTTGTGATCATTTGTTTCTTAGTCTGATATTTTTAGCTGGTATATTGACTGACTTAGATTTTTGCAAAAAATACACTTGCAGGACCTCTAATCCTCTTTTTCTTTATTTTTCTTATTTTATTTTTTTGCAGACTATTGGAACTCCAGAAGGACCAACACCAGATAAATTATGAATGTTGAACAAGATGACCTTACATCCACAGCAGATAATGATAGGTCCTAGGTTTAACAGGGCCTTATTTGACCCCCTGCTTGTGGTGCTGCTGGCTCTCCAACTTCTTGTGGTGGCTGGGTTGGTGCGGGCCCAAACCTGCCCTTCCGTCTGCTCCTGCAGCAACCAGTTCAGTAAGGTGATCTGTGTTCGGAAAAACCTGCGCGAGGTTCCAGATGGCATCTCGACCAACACTCGGCTGCTGAACCTCCACGAGAACCAAATCCAGATCATCAAAGTGAACAGCTTCAAGCACTTGAGGCACCTGGAAATCCTACAGCTGAGTAGGAACCACATCAGAACCATTGAAATTGGGGCCTTCAATGGTCTGGCGAACCTCAACACTCTGGAACTCTTTGACAATCGTCTGACGACCATCCCGAATGGCGCTTTTGTATATTTGTCTAAACTGAAGGAGCTCTGGTTGCGCAACAACCCCATTGAGAGTATCCCTTCTTATGCTTTTAACAGAGTCCCTTCTTTGCGCCGGCTGGACTTGGGGGAATTGAAAAGGCTTTCATACATCTCAGAAGGTGCCTTTGAAGGTCTATCCAATTTGAGGTATTTGAACCTTGCCATGTGCAATCTCCGGGAAATCCCTAACCTCACCCCACTTATCAAACTGGATGAGTTGGATCTTTCTGGGAATCACTTGTCTGCCATCAGGCCTGGCTCTTTTCAGGGGTTGATGCACCTTCAAAAACTGTGGATGATACAATCCCAGATTCAAGCGATTGAAAGGAATGCCTTTGATAACTTGCAGTCGCTGGTGGAGATCAACCTGGCACACAACAATCTAACATTGCTGCCTCATGACCTCTTCACGCCCTTGCATCACTTAGAGCGGATCCACTTACATCACAATCCTTGGAATTGTAACTGTGATATCCTTTGGCTCAGCTGGTGGATCAAAGACATGGCCCCCTCCAACACAGCTTGTTGTGCCAGGTGTAACACCCCTCCCAATCTCAAAGGGAGGTACATCGGAGAGCTCGACCAGAATTATTTCACCTGCTATGCTCCTGTGATTGTGGAGCCCCCAGCAGACCTCAACGTCACGGAAGGCATGGCAGCCGAGCTGAAATGCCGGGCCTCCACGTCTCTGACCTCGGTGTCTTGGATCACTCCCAATGGAACCGTCATGACCCACGGGGCTTACAAAGTGAGGATAGCTGTGCTCAGCGACGGCACGTTAAATTTCACGAATGTAACCGTGCAAGATACAGGCATGTACACGTGCATGGTGAGTAATTCCGTTGGAAATACCACCGCTTCAGCAACCCTGAATGTCACTGCAGCCGCCACTACTCCCTTCTCGTACTTTTCCACCGTTACCGTCGAGACCATGGAACCTTCTCAGGATGAAGCTCGGACCACAGATAACAACGTGGGCCCCACTCCACTGATCGACTGGGACACTACCAATGTGACCACCTCTCTCACGCCCCAGAGCACAAGGTCAACGGAAAAGACATTCACTATCCCAGTGACTGATATCAACAACGGGATCCCAGGAATTGATGAGGTCATGAAGACTACCAAAATCATCATTGGCTGTTTCGTGGCCATCACGCTGATGGCTGCAGTAATGCTGGTCATTTTCTACAAGATGAGGAAGCAGCATCATCGGCAAAGCCATCACGCCCCCACCCGGACTGTTGAAATAATTAATGTGGACGATGAGATTACCGGGGACGCACCCATGGAAAGCCACCTGCCCATGCCTGCTATTGAGCATGAGCACCTCAATCACTATAACTCTTACAAATCTCCCTTCAACCACACAACAACAGTTAACACAATCAATTCAATACACAGTTCAGTGCATGAACCGTTATTGATTCGAATGAACTCTAAAGACAATGTACAAGAGACTCAAATCTAAAACATTCATAGTTACAGAAAACAAACCATCAAAAAAAAAGACAATTTATTAAAAATGACACAAATGACTGGGCTAACTCTACTGTTTCAAAAAAGTGTCTTTACAAAAAAAAACAAAAAAGAAAAGAAATTTATTTATTAAAAATTCTATTGTGATCTAAAGCAGACAAAATTATGTGTATTCCTCAGAACCTGTTTTTGCTGCACTTATTTACTATTTTCCCACATTTCCTCCCTCCCTTCCCTGATTGCCATATTTTTCACAAGAGATCTCAATTCCCTAAAGACCTGGTCTAGGAAATTTTGTAAGAATTCTGTTACACTTTGAGATTTTTATGGTGAATTCTAGTGGTGAGATCCAGTCTATTTTGTCTCTCTTCTTTTTGCTTTTTTTCCCCTCATGCCATTATGAAGTAGTCCAATGGGGAATGCAATATTAGACATAGATTTTTAAGAGAGAACAAGGGAAAATGCAAGATCTTATATTTTTCATGTAATAACCTGTTCTGTATTTATGAGGAGGACCATTCTATGGAAAAGAAAAAGAAAAAAAAAGTAAGCAAACAGATTAATTTACATAAGTATCTATAAAACCCATGATCTTTTAAACAACTCTAGAACCAGAATTTGTAGTTCAAATGCTAAAAATAAGATTATAAATAAAATATTGTTGGTTTTTCTGTACTTGGGCAAAACTCATTTGTAGTGTAACTCAAATGTGAGAAATTTGAAGGTGGCCAATTGCTTCCTTTCCAAAAAAAGGAAATACTACAGTTTTCTTCATTCACGGCATTAATTTCTTCAGGGCCCTTTTTTGTTGTTGTTAGTTGAGTTTTCAATCTATATTCAAGGATGCTGTAGTATTTCCCCCTCCTCTTTAGGGGTAACCTTTGTAGGGTGGTAAGATTAAAAGATAACAATACTGTAAAGTAAATTCAATACTATTTGAAAACAAAGTTTCAGTATAGTTTATTTGCTGTCTCATAAATAAAATTACATTGGCTAGATGAAATGCCTTTATAGATTATGAAGGTATTATAAATCATTGATAATTAGAAAAGACTTCTTTCTGCTGGATGTCAGCAAGTTTAGTTCAATTCAACAATACAGATTATTAAAGATCTACCATGTGCTAAACACTGATTTCAGTATTGTGGGTACACAGTTGGTAAGACTGCCTTCTGTCCTCGAATCACTCACCATCTGTATGAAATCAACTTGCTTGATTTCTGGGGGCCAGCTCTAATCCTACAGTTAGATGGAATGTTCTAAAGTAGGGCATTGGAGTTCTGTAATAGCACTTCAATGTTTTTAAAAGAACAGAATTCCCATGGTTTCTTACATCTTTCTCTAAGAACTGCCCCTCTTCTAAGTACCTATTGTAGAGCAGCCTCTGGCTGCTAACCATAAGCTTGTCATTCAAACCCAACAGTTCCTCCCTGGAAGAGATATGACACTATTTCCATAAAGATGGCAGACTTGGAAGCCCTCTGGGGCAGTTCTACTCTGTACTATAGGGTCACTATGAGTATTAACCAACTCAATGATAAAAGGTTTTGTTAAGGGCTTAAAGAACTGTTCTGAATGATGAATGCATACATAAAGATAGAAAAGATAGTATAGGGTCAATTTGAAGCATTTTTTTTCTTTTTAATGATTTGGAAGGGAATGATTTAGGTAAGAGAAATATAGTAACTTTCATGAAAATTAAGGAACTTGAGGGCTACCATCACCTTAGTATTTCTTGATATTTTAATATGTGATTTGCATAAATAGTAAAATCTGTGAAAGCTGGAACCCACGTAAGGCAGAAACCTGTCAGAGAGGGAAAGTAAATGATTTTCATTAATGGAGACCCAAAAGTGATAAGACTACATCCTATCAAAGGGGAGAACTTGTAGACCAAGGAAAATAAGGCAGTTCCATAGAGTTCTGGCTCTGACAATCTTCATTATATTAGAATTTATTTATTAAAATCGTATGTAGAAATGCATAATTCTTATTCCTGGCCCTTGAAACCTGTCACTCCAGTGGTAAAACAGGCAAGAATTGACCAAGCTGGAGTAAAGTTCAGCTCCCAATGCATGACCAGGGTGGACACATAAACACACACACACACACACACACACACACACACACACACACAGAGTGAGAGGTGAGCTTCACACCACAGTTTTGTGGCCCCAAGTGTGGGAAACTAACCATTACCAGTGAAACAGACCAGAGAAATAAAATGGGAAGAGGGGACAACAAATGAATGAGACCTCTCAAGATCCGTGCTTCTATTTTTTATCACAAATTCTCTGTTTTTTCCTCCCTCATCTTCTACCTTCCTTCGTTAGGAGCACAAGCCACCTTTTGTGTTCGATAAAAAAGGTTTGATAAAAAGGCAAACACACGTTGACCATTACCTTTCACATTGTTCAAAATGGAATGTACAATGCGTATTCCCAAGATGCGAATCACACACACGCAGGCACTAGGCTATCTGCAGTGGTGTGAAGGCTCAGTAGAAAGAAGACTGAGGAACCAGGGGAACCGAGGATCCTGCCTTCTCTCTGGCTTGTGGTTGTGGAGCACTGATCATCTCCGCTCATTATGTACCTTCTCTCACTTCGAGCTGATAACGCCATCGGGTGCATCTCCACACACAGTCCCCTGGACTGCAAAACAGAATGGCAGGTGTCCAAAGTGAAAACAAAACAAAGAAAAACAAAAAAGATTGCGATGGTAATGAAGTGGTTAAGTGTTGTGCTGCTGATCAAAAGGTTGAAAATGACCTAGTGGCTTCAAGGAAGAAAGAGCTGGCTGTCTGCTCTCCTGAAGATGGCTAGCTAGGAAACCCTAGGGAGGCACTTTTACCCTGTCTCCTGGGGGCACTATGAGTTGAAAATTAGCCTATAGAAGTTTAGGGTTAAATGGTTGAGGGCTTCAAATGGCCCATTTAATATGAAACAAAAATGGAAATAACTTGTAGATGTTTTCTGATAAGCAATGTGTTCGTATTTGCCCTATATCCTGAGGGGGGTCCTAGTCCGCAGAAGCTCATGTGACTATTTGCATACCTGGCAGTCCATGTCGTAAAAGACAATTCTGTGTGCACTGTTTTTCTTATTCTCCTCGAAGCCAATCAAGGGACAGTCATCAGAAATACTCATGCACACCAAAAAAGACGCTGTTCATCATTAACAGAGTTAATTAACTTACCCAAACCTTAGGCTTATTTTCCTATAAAAGTTATGTGGTTTGCTCGTGGGAAAGACTTATGGTGCTTTCGAAAGAAGTGTCTCAGGATATTTTTTCTGTTATAAAGTCTTACACACCTGACAATGACCTTGCTCTACTAAATTGTACTGAATGTGTCCGAATGCACTTGGTTTCACAAAGAATTTGGTCTCGTCCACACACACGGATTCTACTTGAGCTTCAGTGATTTCCCTTCCTTTCAGAATATTCTATGGTCAAATATCATCCTTCCCCCAAATTGAAATGAGCATTTCAAAATATAACATCGATTAATGTATTTTTTTTATGAAAATGCTGCTGATCGCTATTAGACCTTATATTCACAGTGTTAACACTACAGGGGACCCGAATAATCTGAAATTCTGAATACGGTTATAGTGGAGAACACTGTGTAATGAAAGGGTTATTTGCATAAGAGAAAGGAAAAGGGTAGGGCAGTTTTAGAACTGACGTATTGAAACATGAGAAAAAACTGGGTTTCCAGTGTGTCCAAGGCAAATATTGATCAAAGACGGGGAGAAAACTTTCATTCTTTTATCCTTTGGGGATATTATTTAAGATATTTAGGTAAGTGGAAAAGTCAGATGAGTGCTTCCGTACATGGAACGCTAAAGCAATATAATTTAAAACAAGGTACTCAACTCTTTGTTGCTCCAACTTATCAGCTTAATAAGGATATTGAAAAATAAAGATTATATTAGCTGTCACAGAACAAAACAGGTGAGTGACTGGTTAGGATTCCTATTCTCTGGGTACTTAAATACTATAGCACAGAATGAAATCTCTTGCAAAAACACCTTCCCATAACAATCTATGCATCGCTATAGTTGTCTGGAATGAGGTTTCTGTACAAAAACTTAATTCTGATGAAAATGCATCTAAGAAGTCACCTTCTAGTAATCAAGGTACCTTTTGTACTTTCTCTTCTAAAAGAAGAATTATGAATTTCTAAAATTTGTGTATTATGTAGGAACCAGCTGTGACCCCACTGTCTTCTCCTGCTGCATTGGGATGCAACATAAGATACACCTGCCTCCATGAGAGAAAAAAGAGCACTCCTAGAATTAGTGATAACACACTGTCAATTAAAATGCAAATTTAGATGTTGCACCAAGCACTCTCACAACACACACACACACACACTGGTTCATGTACTTTTGTTCCTTGCAGTACTGCAAGCAGGATGGTGATTTCGTCTTTGTTAACAGTATTTGAGGATATATATATGTATACACATATATATATATTCACTGTGATATACATATGTGTGTGATACACAGTGTTTATATATATGTATATATATCACTGCTATCAAGTTGATGCAGACTCATAGTGACTCTATAGGACTGGGTAGAACTGCACCTCTGGATTTCTGAGACTGTAACTCTTTATAGGAATCCAAAGTCCAGTGGAGTAGCTGGTAGTTCAAACTGCTAACCCATTGGATCGCAGCCCAGCTGGTAACCACTATGCCACCAGGGCTGCTTCACATATAATTATATAGTCGGAAATGAAAAGTATCTAGTAGTAATAAGAGAAACAAAGCCTATTTATTTTATATCAGCCAAGAAAAATAGACTAATAAAAAGGGGAAAAAGAATTGGGGTGGAGGTTGCTGCTTCCAGACAGAAAACAAACAACACTATTTTATCGTAAGCATGTCTTATTGGACCAGTCCTTCTGTTTTACGCGTTTTCTTAAGAGTACTTGAGCACCTATCCCTCTTAAACATTATACAGGAAGTCAGGGCCTACAACAAACAAGATCATGAAGTTCACATTACGAGATTCAGCCCAGTTATTTACTTTTTTTCCAGACGAGTAATCCTATACTTATTAATATGTATAGTGCTGAATGGCTACATGGGAGCTCTTCCAGTTTGGCATTAGTAATCCCCTAATCTTGGCAAACTTAGAAGAATATCCCCCTATAGCATGAGGAAACTCATTAAAGGATGTTTTATTATTATTAGCATTTATTCTGAGGGTGTTTAGTGCTTACCCGTTGGACCGCAAAGAGCAAGGCCCTCAAAAACTGAGGCTTTCTCCTACCCTAAACAATTGCAATGTTGGAAACCTGCAAGGGCACTTCTACCCTGCATATAGGGGCACTAGGAGTCAGAATCAATTGGATGGCAGGGAGTGTTTGGGGATATATCGGTAAGATTTGTGAATGACAAGTAGCAAATATCCTCATTTCTCCAGTCGTTTGTTTCACATTAAGAGAGAAACAGAGTGGAACCCGACTGTTTAAGCAGTTTCTAGTTTCCTCCAGTGTTGAGTGATATCAATGAAACCACAATCCCACTGTCATTTAAACTATACACAAGAGTAATTATGATCTAGTTTATGATATATATTTTTATGACACTTTTATGAAATCCTAAATCAAATAGCTTATACTACTAGGGAAATCATGGGTTGATTTAATGTTTGAATTGTTGTGAGAAAATGGAACTTTTCTGGCCAACTGTATAAAAATAAATAAATAACCTTAACAAGATTTATAAAATGTCTCAAAAGGGGAATGCTAAAACGGACATCCAGGTCCTATGACTCGTTCTATTTTGAAAAGATTTTCAAAATGGGAGAATAGTAAAATTTGTGTTTCCAGGGGCTCTCAAGAAAATGAACTCAGGCTT